TTAATGTAACAAAATATGACACTGTTGCCAGCAATGAATGAGTGCCTGCTGCCCCACACTCTCTTCAACACAGTTTTATCTAAACTTTTGATCTTTGCTGGTCTGATAGGCGAAAAATATCAGCATAGTTTTCATTTGTAATACTTCTCCTGTAGGAAGCAGCAAAAATGCCTGCTGGAGTTACCTGTTCAGTCTCTACTCCTGGAAGAGGAGAGAACTGACCCGAGCGTTTCCTTCATCCATCCAGCCCACCAGCATCCAGCGTGGCCTCAGCTCCCGGTGGGTCCTGTCCCTCATGAGGCGGGGAGTCCGGGAGCCGATGTGCATCCAGTTCCCCTTGTCCTGGGATTTGGCTGAGAATCTCGCTAACTCTGAGTAACTACATGTGACTGCACACTCCAACCAGCTTCTCCTGATACTCTTCTTCCTAGAAAGCTCTTTGCCTGTGGACACAGTAGCAGCGGGAGCCTACTCCATGCCTCAACCTGAAGGGCCAAGGGGAGGGAATTGTTTCCAGAACCCCAAGTGAGAGATCTGAACAGAGAGGGCCACCTACCAAGAGCTGTGATCTTCAAGCAAGGACATAGCCAGACCACCGCCTCCCAGCAGGGAAGCAAACCAGCAGAGTAAATAACTTGAGCTCTCCTCCCACCCTCCGATCTCCTGTCAGCGCTCTCCATCTGCTGAATCTAACCCGAAGTCAGAGGAGGAGGGAGACCACTCATGTAGCCTCTGGATCACAAAGTAATGGAGGAGGGTGGAGAGGGGATCTAGAAAGGCAAACAGAAGACACCCAGCATGCTCACAAGATAGCAAATCCCATGTTCCTTTGGAACACATTCCCTCAGATTCTTTACTTTGCCTCTTGAATCCTCCAAGCTCCTAGAAGACAAAGGCTAACAGCTCTAAGGTTTTCAGTCATGACTGTGCATGATTCCCCTCACATAAGATTTTTCTGGTAGATGGGCACTCAGCTGCATAGTAGCCATAATTGCCTCTGGGTTATTCATGAACTTTTTAAAGTTCATCATCTGGATTTTCGATTAGCACAGTTACAGTCATATGGAAGAAAAAGATCTGAATGAGGAGGAAGCAATTTTTATTACTCATTTGCAACAGGAAGACATTTCATGAAGATCTGCTTGTTTTACAGGTTGAAAATAACTAACGTGTGTGCTCTGGAGACAAAGTAGGCGAGGACAAATTATTGTTTTAACTGTAGAATCCTGGTGTCTCACTGTCTTAATAGGTACAAATGAAGCCCAGTTGATATAATATCTAAATCTCAGTAGTACCTCACTCCCACTTGCTCAACTATATGTAGGAGGCCCAGTTTTTAACAGTGTCCCTATTTCTGGAAATTTTCTAGAATCCTCAGGAATCTCACATGTGCCCATGAGTCACTCATGGCCATTATTTGCCATTCTGGTAAACTCAACTAGGCTTTCACAGCCTCAGGGGCTGATGGTTCCATAGCCGTATCACACAAAACTGAAACTGTTCCTGCGCCTAGGCAAAGATAAGGAAACCCTGAGTACCCGGTATGTGAATGAGAATGATACTGCTAACATTTCTGTTTGAAATGACAAAACAACTACCCTTTCAGTTAAAAAGACAAAGTGATTTTTATACTATGTTAAACATAAAAATATTTAATATTTTTAAGCTAAAAATTTTAGCATGCTAAAAAATTTTCTTTTTCAAAACAAAATATCCATGCTTGTTTTTCAATGATACATACTCAATTGTCTTATTTATGCTATTTCTTGGGCGGAAGTCTAAAGAATCAACTCATTTTAAAATATTAAATCAATTTTCAAATAAAATTAGGAATCCTGTATTTAATTTTACATTAAATACATTTATATTAAATTTATTTATTTTTCTTTGAGACCACAGCTTTAACTACATATTTTTAAATGCTTTTATAAAAACCATTTCCAAAAACAGCCAGGCCATGATTTGCTATACTTCCCTGTAATTTTTTCTTTTTGATTTAGTCACATATATTTGTTTATATAAACAAATATACAAAATGGGGCCAGCCCTGGTGGCGTAGTGGTTAAGTGTGGCATGCTCCACTTCAGCAGCCTAGGCTCGGTTCCTGGGCATGGACCCACACCACTCACCTGTCAGTGGCTGTCGCTCACATACAAAAACAGGAAGACTGGCAACAGATGTTAGCTCAGGGAGAATCTTCTTCAGCAAAAAATAAATAAATAAATAAAATAAAATGGACCCAGAAAAAATGTTATTTAAAACAAAAAAAACTGAATGTACCAGTTTCCAGTTTGCATAAGTCTGATTAATGGGAATACATTTCTGTCTACTATTCCCTTCCACTTACTGGGATGGTAGGCCCCAGGAAACGGAATTTTTCAAGTCCCCACCTATTCATCAGTCCTCCAGAGAGGGCCTCCAGATTGAAGAACCCTTTGTTTAGCAGAGCATGGTAATGAGTTTTTAAATTTATATGCCCTAAGGAATCCAGTAAAAAGTGAAGACTTCAATTTCTCTCCTCGGTATCGCAGGAGAATCTGGGTTTCAGAGGGAGCCCTAGAAAGCAAAAGTGACAGAGCCCAGGGGCAAAGTGAAGTTTTGCTTTGGCAAAAGAAAAGAAGGGGCAAATGCTCCTCATTCGGGAAAGTAACAGTCAAATGTCAGGAGTGAGATTGCAAATTCAAAGCGAAATCAGAGCAAGAAGTGGCTAGGAGAAACTCCCCACAACCACCACCAATGATATAAATGGGGTGCTGGGAAGAGTGTTTGAGCTATTTTTGTATAAATATTAAACGGAAGGAAGACCGAGAAATTTGACACTTGGCTTATATGTGTGTGAACATCAGCCATCATTAACGCTGCTGTACACAATTGGGGAGCCATGGGGTGGAAGTAAACAAGGGAGTAGAAGACAGTCTGCAGTGTAGGGAGGGTAGAGCTGGGGACAACTATTAGCAGGCTCTTGCAACAATAGTTCAGGTAGGAATGATAAAGACCTGATCAAAGCAATGGCAGTAGGAATGATGAGGAAGGGAAGAATTCCAAACATCTCAGTTGTAGAATCAATCAGATTGGTGACTGGCAGAGAGGCATGGTTAGGATACCTCCAAGATTTCTAGCATGAGTAACTGAGTGAACAATGATGCAGTTATCAGTTTTAAAATACAGTAAAAGGGGCAGGTTTTGTTGGGGAAATGGTAATTCTAGTTGGACATTCAGTGGAGATATTCAGAGGACAGCTGGAAATAACTTTTATGCTATATTTTGGATTTAAGCTGAAAGCATGAATGAGAATTCTCAGACTGCATAATGCAAAGAGAAGGGAAGAAGCTGAGCATGGAAGCATGGCGGCCAGGAACATTCAAGAGCTGGGTAAAGAGAGAAGAACCAAAGAGAAATCAGAAGGAAGAACTGATATCATAAATGCCAAAGGACAATAAATCAAGAAGTGAATGGTCAATATTTTCATATGCTGAATAAAATGCTAGCTGAAAAGAAGCTATTGGATTTGACCAGAATTATTAATGAACAGTGGAGGTAGAAACCAAATTGTCGTAGTCTAAGGAGTGATTGTCAGTGAGAACATGGATACAGTAAATTAAAGCTCTTCTGAGGAAAAAGGTGGTAGGGCAGGAGCTTGAGAGGGAGTCATTGTCCACAAAAGATTTTTGTTCCCCATCATAGTCCTAGCCTAACATTTTGCATCTAGCAGGCAGTCAGTATCTATTAAATGCAATAATATTTTCATTTATTGACCAGATCTCCTATGAAAAGAATCCAGTGTTCTCCAAATAAAACAGTACAAAACAGAGCCATCATTTTGGACAGGGAGAGGGACTGAGGAAATAAAGATATTTCATATTCTATATTATGTTTTAGGTTAATTGGTAAGAATTATCACTTTTTTCTCACCCTCCTTCTGACCAGACACCCCCTAATTATATAGACGGGAAAGGAGCTAAATGGCTTGCTGATCCTGTCCCCGGAGTGCAGAATTGCATAGCCCCAAAAAGAACTTTCATTATCTTATTTTATAAAAGATTAGGCATCAAGTTGCCACGAGTTGCCTTAATTACATATTTAATTGCTATTAGGTTACATATATAATATTGAAAACTTGGAGTCTTTTAATGATATAATAATGCTTATGACATAAGCATTAAGTGAAAAAAAGGCTACCATATTGCATATGCAGTATGATCTCAATTTGGGTAAGGGGAAAATATATAAATACAAATATATATACATATTTATACACACATATACATACAAAGTAGGACTAAGTACTAGACAATAAACTGATAACATCTCTGGGTGGTAGAATTACAAAATTTTATTTTCTTCATCTTATTTTTCTGTATTTTCCACAATTAAAAATGCTTTAAAATCTCCATAAAGTCATGGGACTTCCTATCTAAACACTTACTAGCAATTTAAGCCCATTCTCTTTGTCCTAGGTGGCTCTAAAATAACAATAGTTATAATAGCAATTCCTTGAAGTAGCCTGCAGTCTTCTTCACGCCCAACTTCTTGGAAACTTTCTCCTACTCATCTTACTAGTTGCTTGTACTTCCTTGGGTTCTCTCGGACTCTCGGATTCTAAAGGTGAGTTTGGAGAAGCAATGTGAAAACTGGAATGGAGAAGCCGAAGTTTGTTTTAAATGAGCCGTACTACCTGGTTCATTGTGTGGAAAAAGATAATTGGCCCAGATCTCGGCTCTGCCGTTTACCAACTGTGGGACCTTAGATAAATCAGTTCGTATCTCTGCCCCTCAGTTATCTCGGTTTTCTCATCTTTTAAATGGGGTTAAAAGAATTTACACGTGGGAAGTGGGCGAGGCTCGTTGAGAATATTGGAAGTGCCACAGTTAGGGACGTCTAGAGTTCCGTAGATCTCAGTAAATCCCTCTAGGAAAGACCCCACCGCAAAGGTACTAACCCTGAGGGGGGTGGGGCCGGGAATCTGTATTTTAGTAGCTTCCCAGGTGATTCAGATGCTCAGTCAGGTTTCAGAACGAAGGACTCTTTCCAGCCCTCCTGCTCTCTGATCCACTTCTCAACATCCTTCTGGTCCCAGCGACTTCCAGTTACCGCAACAAACGGAGCCGAGCGAAGAGGGCAGACAAGGCGCCGCCAAAGCCCCCAGGACCGACCGGCCCCCAGCCGCTCGGCAGCACCCCCAGTCCCGGGCGCTAGCCGCCAGGTTACATAACGGGCCCGCGGCGCGCTCTCGCGAGGTTTCCACCGCCCCCTCCTCGCTCCACGTCAGAGGGAAGCGGGCGGAGCGGCCAACATGGCGGAACGCAGGCGACACAAGAAGCGGATCCAGGTAGTAAAGCCGAGCTCTGGGGTAGGGGCTTCAGGGCGCTCGGGAGGGGAAGAAGGGGAGAAAGGCCCCTGGAAGGGCGAACGAAACCGAGGGCGAGGCGGGGTGGGGTTCCGCCGCGAGGCTCCGGCTGCAGGCTGCGTCGTTGTGAGGGGCCTGAGGGGGGGCGGTGTTGGCCGAGGCGGAGATCGAGGCGGAGGTGGTGGGGCAGCGGCGGAAGGCAAGAGGCGCCACGCTCGGAAGCCGCCGCGGATGCGCGGACGCCGGCCTGGGGTTCCTGTGGCCGCTCCGGCCGGCGCCTCCGCTGGGAGGTCAGCCTCCTCCCCAGCGCAGACTCCGACCTCCCCGGGCTCCTCCCTCCCTTCTCGACCCCATCCTCTCGCCTTAGCGATCCCGAAATTAAGGCTATGGTAATTAGGGTAGAAGGAGGCGGAGGACTGACCTAAAGCAGCCGGTTCTTTGTGCGCAAATAGGACCGTAGGAGGGGGAGTAACCTGGGTCTGGTCAGCTGCCCCGGGGGCCCAGGCAGCGATCTGCCTGTCCAGATGTTCAGCTGCGTGTACTCTCCTGTGTCCTCGGTGTTATTAACTTCATAGTCCACTTGGAGCTTTCTGGCTTTCTTTCAGGCTACAAGTGTAAATAAACACAACCGTGTTGGTACTGCAACGAGCTGGTCGCGCCCAGAAACCTTTCCTGTGCCACTGTGTCATCCTTATAACCTACATAACATCCCTCCCTCATTCCACATGCATGTCATATCTATGCATTTCTGCCCTACAGTTTCCCCTGTTGTTCTTGCTCTTTGCCACGAGGGTTAAATATGTGGAACATCTTAAACTCGGGATGTTGATTAGTCCGTTGTCTCCTCAGCTCATGTGCCTAGAAACCTTCATGTCACCATAGATTGATAACATGTTGTAAGTTAATATAATCATCACTAATTGTTACACTTCTCATTGTCTTTCTGTTCCTTACTATTTCACTGCCTAGAATGACTTTGTCTATCTAATGTTTTATTTCTCCATTTAAAAAAACATTCATCAGTTAAGTTGGCTTACACCACAGGTGATTTGTGCTATGCAAGTTAAAATTCTCCTGAAAACTTTGAACTACTACAAAAGAAGATGCCAGTGATCAGTAAATTTGGAATTTTGGAACTGGGCAGAAATAAGCAAGTAGTTAACTAGCAGAGTACAGAAGGGGATAAGAAAGAGACAAATTCCCCCAAAGTCAGACAGGTCCTAAAACCAGGGCTTAAGGTTATTATGGAAGAAGTTTCTAGTTGTACTTTTCCTAGTCTTTCAAAATGTAGTGTTACAAGTGTGAATGTGTAATACTTTTATTAGAATTTATATTAAAGTTACTCGTCAAATTATACTTAATGTACACTTATTTACATGTGCAGTACATTTTATGCCCCTTAATACACAGTGTTTTTACAATTTCAGCTGCTCTTTAATATTGTTGTAAAGATGATCCTGATTGATTTTTTGAATAGCTGCTTTTGTTTCAGTTGTGATCTTATATTGAAGAGAAAGGTAGATTAAGAAGCTGTGTAGTAGTGGTAGTGGCTGGGAGCTAAAATTTGAGCCAGATTGTGCCTGTTTGTACCCTGTTTCACTAATTATTAGCTGTGTAACTTTGGGCAAGTTACTTAACTTTTTACCTCAATTTCCAAATCTGTAAGAAGGGATATTGACCTCAAAAAAAAAAAAAAAGAAAGAAAGAACCTGATAGAGTTGTAAGGTTGTTTCGAAAAATAGGTGAGTCGATGACCTGTTATTAAAGGTTTTAAAAGAGTTCTTGGCACATGACTCCTTTCTCTTCCCCCCTCCCCAAGGATGAAGGGTTTGGGATGATTTGTTTTGGTTTTTGTTAAGCACTCTGATATGCTGAAGAAAGATTAACAGCTATCTATTCAGTAAATAAACCATTAGACTGTGAGTTCTGTAAAGTATAGCCATTTACTTACTATTGCTTATTTGAGGAACAAATAAATATGTGAGGATCCATTGTTAAAAATCAACCTGGCATACTGCTAAATGAAATCAAGTCAATTGTACGTCAATAAAAAAAAAAAAAAAAAGAAAAGAAAAGAAATAACACTTATTTTTCCCATCCTTGAAGTTTTTTATGTAGTTGTGCTAGAATGTTGTAGAGATCTTGGGAGAGCTGCTTGGAGTACTATTATACAGTCTTAACAAATTAATAAAACTATACAATATCCTATAAAATTCCTTGTGTCCCCCCCCCCCCGAGAATCAGAAACTATAATATTGGCATCATTTTAAACAAAAAGATCAAATGTAATGACAAAGTTCAGAGTTTAAGTTACAGAAAAGATTCTATTGTAAGACGTTTGGGCAAAAAGGTCTGTAATATCAACTGAGTTTCCTGTTGTTTGTTCCTTGATGTTTCATGTTTAGAAAAGATTTTTATGTTTAATAGATTCAAGTGACCCTGAATTGTAATTTGTACATTGGGGGAAATGGTTGATACAAACAAGTTTAAGGGTTTAAAAAAATAGCTAATTCGTTTGCTTTTTCTAGTGTAGCGTAATTTCAGATTCTGGTATCCCATCCAAGTTGGAGACAAGAGGACTATTGCGTCACATTTCCTTCTTGGACTCACCTTACAGGTCACTGAAAACCAGAAGTGAGCTACGTGTTCATTGACATTATTTTGGGAAATTTTAATGATTGAGATTCTCAAATGAGAGTGATCTCAATCCAAATTAATGAAACATTTGAAAATAAATAACTTTAAGAAATGCAATTATCTAAAATTTTAAGAACATACAGTAAGTGCTTATAGGTTAACAAAGTGCTGCTCACTAGGAAGGTTGCTTTAGAATCCTGGAATCATGAAATTTTAGAATTGAAAAGAATTTTCAAATAGTAGGGTTTGTGTGGAATCTTTTTGCACAAATGCTGTTCTTATGTAAAGACAGGGTGGTGGGCCCAAAGCGCTATCTCCTCAGTACCCCACTATCATCATGCCCACACCCCATGGTCCTTTAAGCTACTTTTAGGACCTAGATCTAAAAGTATTACTAGGTATAAAACTTACTGATCTAAACCATCACCCTCATTTCACAGGTAAACTGAGGTTCAGTGAGGTTATGTGACTTGACCCAGGGTCACTCATCAGGATGGTAAAACCAGATTTAGACCAAGTCTTCTAATTCTCAGTTGAATGTTCTTTCCACTTCACCATTGATAAAATAAAAATAAATTGTCCTAATGCTTTAATCCTGAAATCTTTATATTAAATTGTATAACATAAAGACATAACATAACTTGTCCCTACTAAAGACAGAATCATCCCATTTAGTATTCTGCTTATGTGTAAAGTATCCAGTTGAGTTTTGGAACATTTAAATAGCTTACTAATTCTTAGAACTTTTATAACCTGCATCTCAGTTAATTTTGTTGGACCCATCTGTCTCCTTGACAATAAAACCCTGATATATCATGGGCCTACATGCTTAATTTCAGAAAAGGGAAGAAAAGAGAAAGTTTGTGACTGTACAGTCTGACTCTCTGGGATTCTTTTGAAGAAAAGAGAAGGAACCCAGGAAGCCAGTCCTAAGTCTGAAAACTGCCCCCAGAGGCTTAATGGAGGGCTTACAATAGGACTGAAGCAGGACGGTGTTACAGCAGGGCACTGCCCTAGTCAAAATACAGAGACTTTTGTCAAGCTTTATTAGTAACATGCTGTGTGACTTCAAGCAAATGATTTATCTAAGGTTCCCTCCAGGTTTCAGATTTTATTCAGCTGACTTGTTTACATTTTCACAAATATTTTATACTGCTTGTATGAAGATATGAATTCGTAATTTGTAAACTAACCTTTTTCTTTTTTGCTCAGTTCACTCAGCAAATCAACTAAGCTTATTTCTATTGACTATAGCAATTTAAAAAAATTCTTCTGAATCAGAAATTCTGTAAAATTGTCCATGGCTTGCTGACTCTTGATCTAATATTTTTTCTCAGAAAGATTGTCTTAAGTACTGGGTAAAATAACATATAATTAGAAATGGTAACACCTATTTCATGATAGTATTTGAGTGTTGATGTATTCTAAAGTAAAAATAGTATTTGTTAAATAATTTAAAAAGAGTGTCCTAACCAAACTTTCAATTTATGTACTTTTTTTTGGGTTGTGAGTTGTGGCAGCCAGCATCTTGGTATTTGGGTGGAAAGATGGTAGTCCAGCCTCAAACCTTATTGGCTCTTCACTTACTCATTCTAAGACACTTGAGCCCATTCATTGACCTATCAAGTTCTCTTCCTTGAGAGTTGAGGAGCTGGTTTCTCTTTATTAGTGTGTGATGCTGTTTACAAAAGGCCTTCACTTTTTGTTAGAAGGTTTCTAGAAAAGTTATGAAAATATTCTGAAGATTTGTTCACATCAAAGGAAACAAAGAGGGGAGGTACTAAAGTCTAATGTATAAACAGGAAGAGAAAGACTGTTTTATCCTCTCTTTAGGCTACAGCAGGGGAGCAGTGAGAGTGAAGACTCCATGGCAGGATCTTCTGTATAACCAGCTTCCTGTGGTCATGTTCTCTTGGTACTGTTCCATGGCAGTCTTTCTTTCTGGCTTCAAAGGCCCAGCAGATGGCAAAAATTCTGTACTTTTTGTTAAAGACAGTCTACAATATGTATAACTTATATGTGGTATAATGAACATTTCATAATATTTCACAAAGGAAAATAGAAACTTTTGAAGGATTTGAACTTCAAGAAGTAACAAGGAAGATATCAATTCTGTTAGACCAGTGTCTTGCAAGAATTCACTACTTTTCTAGTCACAATTTCCAGGGAAGTTACTGATACTTTAAGGAAGTATCAATGGATAAGTAACTCTATGTGTAATTGGGAGAGATTTATCCAAGTCCGTGTTTTCTGGGTCTCTTCTGTTCATTGTTGCTTAGTAGTGCCTTTACTAAGGAGGGGAAAGGAACGAAAATATATTACTTGAGTCTATTTTGCAGTTGTGCAAAAGAGTTTGGTAAACTTGAAGGTAATTGTTAAAATGAGGTTTAAAAATGTTGTGGATTCATGTAGTATCAGATTTCCTATTATATAATACTAGAATGGACTTTTCAGTTTCTTGTGTATCCTGATATCAGATTTTACATGTGATGCCTCTGTCAACAATCAGTAGATTAGTACATTTCTGCATGTGTTTAGTAAAATGGTTTAATTGAGTGTTAGTATGGGTGTAGATTGTCATGCCTAAAGTTTATATGATTGTTTTTTCCCCAGAATCACCTTCCTCCCAAATTTCTGTTATTAAAAAACTATCCTTTCAGTTGATCGAATTAGAAATCTGACGTCTTTTACTTAGCCATTTCATTCATCCTTTATCATTGAGTCCTATCTGTTCTACATTTGAAATGTTTCAAATATCCTCAGTTCCTTCCCATCCCTAATCCAGTATCACATCACATCTTACTTGAATACTAATTTACTGCCTTGGGTGTTTTTTTCCCAATTCATTCTACACACAGGCACCAAAATAATGTGTCTAAGTCATTTTTTCTAATTATGTTCTTCTGTTGAAAAGCTACTAGTGGTCTTTCTGTTACTTACACAGTAAAGTTGAAATTTCTCAAACTGCCTTGAAGACTCGTTAGCCCTGTTCTACTTGTACATACTTAACCTCACAATGCTTCCTAACTTGTCTCTGCTGGAGCCAAATTTTGTACTCATTCTCAGCCACAGTGTTTATGCTGTTCGTTGAGTTTACCCCAAACTTGTTCATTTTTCAAAATCCAGCTGCCTCTTCCAAGAGATCTTTTATAGCTGTTCTCATCCACACTGATAATGCCACTCCTTTGTGTACAAAATATTTTTTCTGTCACTCATTTTGGGAAATAACAATTGTTGTTTTGGATAGTTTTAACAAAGTGTAGGTATCATGCCTTACAAATTTTTGGTATTGACTGTAGTACCCAAAGATTATTATAGGGTAAACACTCAGTAAGTATGTATTTGAATGATTTATGTTTATTCAGACTTCCCTCCCACAATCATTTTTAATCAAACATATTCCAGTAACACATTATCAGTTAATTAGAGAAACCTTTAAATTGACAACAGATGTATCAAATGAGGAAAAAAGTTGAGCATATATGAATGCGATTATAAAATAGAATTGGTTTCTGTAACCAATTAGAGTATCTCATTATTTTCAATTATTTGTAGTATTACTTCTTGGGCTGTACCACAAATATATAGGATATTATTTACTAATAGATGAGGCTCCTAGAAATGCAGTTAAATATTATCATTTAACATATGATACTAACATATATATTAATATATTTTAGTGTGATTTCAAAAATTGAAATATAGGATTTTCACCTTTTAGTGTATCAGAAAGTCTGTTTTGTGGCTAGGCCCCAAATTAAATCATTATGAACCTTGTAGGTGTTAGTGAACTTAGAATGTTAAATTTTGAATTTGCAGTTTTTGAAGATTCTATTTTTCTGTGATACATATTTTTATATATAAAACTAAAGGTTTTCTTTTTGGTTTTTTTTGTTTTTTTGCTGAAGAGCATTCGCCGTGAGCTAACATCCGTTGCCAATCTTCCTCTTTTTTTTTTGCTTGAGGAAGATTAGTCTTGAGCTAACATCTGTGCCAGCCTTCCTCTATTCTGTGTGTGTGTCACTGCCACAGCATGGCTGACGAGTGGTGTTAGGTCCGCGCCTGGTATCTGAACCTGCGAACCCAGGCCACCGAAGCGGAGCACGCCCAAGTTAACCGCTACGCCATGGGGCCGGCCTCCTAAAGGTTTCTTATTCATATGAATATTTGGTTTTTACTGTAGTCTTCATTTGGATTGAATGATTTGGGCTTTTAATTTTTATTGCCACAAATAATAACCCACAAATGAGGTCGTAGCAGAGTATAAGAATCACACACAGTTAATTGGGCTACTGGAAGTAGAGAAGTTGGGAAATGCAAAGGAAGAAATATGAGAAGTAGCTGCCAGGTGACTCAATCACCAAAGCACAGGCTTTTGCTTCATCTAACAAATTACTCCTTTTCAGGATAAAACTAAAGCTGAAACCTTGGTTTGTTAATTGTTCCTTATTTTCATCAAATGTAACTGAATTCAGACATCTGAAATTTGTGGGAAAACTGACATAAAGACAGGTGATTTAGGTAGATTACTTTTTTCTATTTTGTGCTGTTAGAATGTCTTGCCTGAAACATAACTGTCTTTGGCATTAGTTGTTCTCAGCATCCTACATTCTTGGCAGATAATTCTTTACTATTATTTGGCACTTTAAGAAACAGCCCTTCCTGAAATCGTTCCCATTTAGATTATATATTGCTGGAAGTATTGCTTGAGTGGTCTATGTATTGTGCTTAAACATGTAATTGAAGACAGTACTTTTGTTTCAATAGCTTATACAATAAGACAGCTTCTAAAAGCATGTATATAAGATGTATACAAATGTAGACTGCCTTCATTTCTTTCAATATATGGGTGGGGAGAATAAGTACACAGGAGGAATTGTGAAATTAAAGAAGTAGTTGAGAATGTAAGGAAATAAAAGGAAGATGGGGAATGATAAAGAATGAAGAAAGTAATAAAAAAAATTGGAGAAAGGAATGGAAGAAAGAAAACAGGGAAGGATTAAAGCAGCCTTTCCGAAACTCTTTGTCTGTGTACTTCCATTAATCAGTTCTTCAAGTGAGATTGTAATTTATCTGTGTATTGCATTTTTATTTTTGCTTTACCCCTGCTAAGGAAGAAGAGCAGAAAGACACGATGAGAAAGGAGTCCTAGACAGTATCTGGATCTGCAACCACAGAGGAGAGGGAAGGGAATACAGATCTTCAGTATCTCAGATAGTAGTTCTTATGGCTGCCACACCGGGACAGACAGCTATCTTTGGTTAATTTGAGAACTCCCCCTATGGTCTGTTGTCTGTTGTTCAGGGTACATAGCTTTGGCTGTTATTTAACATTTATTTATGGCACCTGTGTCTACTTACCTTGACATTCGGGCACTCATTATTGGCAGCCTCTTAATCTTTTAAATTATTGGTTTGTGGCGTATAAAAAGAGACCAGGCAGGAGTATAGGTGAACGAAGTAGTTACCATACTGGAAAAACAACTCAAAATAAATACGTTTTAGCTAGGGCTAAGAGGCAGACAGGTTTTGGCCCTATCAACTTGTATTTGAAAAACATATAATTTAAAAAAATCTCCTTTCTGTCTTTTGTGTACATTACCTGGTCTGCTCTAGAGAAAGCTTGAAAGAAAGGCGTATACTCCACTTAAAAAGATTTGCAGAACAGATCTGTAAATTCAGTGCATGAATTTCTCAAGTAAATGATTCTAGTAAATTACTCTTCTTACTTTGCAGGAAGTTGGTGAACCATCTAAAGAAGAGAAGGCTGTAGCCAAATATCTTCGATTCAACTGTCCAACGAAGTCCACCAATATGATGGGTCACCGGGTTGATTATTTTATTGGTAGGATTACATCAGTATAATTACATTAGTGTACATATCTTATAAAGATACCTAAATTTGGGATATGTAGACATTTAAAAAGTGCTTTCCAAGTGTGATTGGTGAAGTTGGGTGATGGGCATATGGCAATTGATTATCCTATTCTTTCCTTTTGTGATTGAAAATGTCAATGATAAAAAGATGAAAATGCTTTGTGAAAACATTGTTGGAAATTTTTTAAATAGGATTTGTTTTCAGTGTTAATACTACCTTTTGTTCAGATAGTATATGAACTTAAAGATAATCTTTTTGTAAAACTCGGGGGTAGAATTCAGAGTGAAACAAGTCTGTAGGAAACAACTTAGGAGCTTTGGTTCTTCACATAATCCAAACAACCTCATTATAAGTTATTGTCATCTATGATAGAGCCCTATGGCTTATAAATAGTGGTTGAGTTTACCTGTCTCATCAATTAAGATTGAAGTGCCATTATAGAGAAGAAATTCCTTTATCTTCTCTTTCTTTAGTGTTATGATTAATGGTTTTGATATTCATTACAAGTTTAGAAAAATAAACATGCTGTTCTCTTCAGACCCAATATATTTAGCTTCTTCTAGTGACTGCAGTAGATTGTTCACAGAGCTTATGCCTCAGTAGGTTACAGTAAAGCTTGATGACAGAATTTCTATTATTGTAGGAGAGGAAGATTTTTGTTTTGTTTATCCTGCATTTAATTGTGATTATTTGCTAAGGGTGATATTTATATTTATTTTGAATTTTTTTGTGCAGAACATTTTCCCATTTATCTTGCGTTAGTTAATATTTTTGAATGCTGTTTATTTCACTGCATTACTTTTTTAAAAAAGATGCTTATTGATATGTTTCACGAATTGAGGTTTTGAGGAAGTGTTTATCATGATCATATCAGACTACATTTTCTGTTGTACTTGGTTTTAGTTTCTGATGACAGGAGGTTAAAATTTGCCTTATAAAATATAATTTAGGTAGACATAAATTCTCATGTATACTAAATTTAAAATAATAAATTTCTTCTTTAGCTTCAAAAGCAGTGGATTGCCTTTTGGATTCAAAGTGGGCAAAGGCCAAGAAAGGAGAGGAAGCTTTATTTACAACAAGGGAGTCTGTGGTTGACTACTGCAACAGGTAGTGTTTATTTCTTGGTGAAGGATAACGTAAATAGTGATTTAATACTCCTGAAGCTCCTTACCCATTTTTGTCATTAAACATAGTGATATTAGAACATAGCTCAAACATAGCTTTTACATGCAAGCTGGATTTCTTCATTACCTCTGGAATGCATTTCTTTGGTGTTAGACTGTCGTATTTTTATGATTTTTATTTGTCTTCTATTACATTTGTACATTTGCCAGGCCGACTGAACTGAAAGATCAGCAATAAAAGTCATATATCAGTGACTACAGTGAACAAAAAGGTTCTTTCTTTTCTGGAGCAAACAGTTAGAGAGTCTTTTCCAAAACTTTGGCAAGGATTCCTAAGAGACCTATTGTCCCTGGTGCGGTGTTTTTTTTTTTTTTTAGTGCCTACATGTTGAGCCATTAGCCACGTTCCTTTCCCTATTTTGTTTAGTGATTGCTAATGCATTCCTTGTAAAATCAAGGCACCTGCAACATCTACCTTTTCTTGATTCCAAGATGAAGTATAGACAGTTTAGTAATATCCATGTTGTTCATAATAGGTACGTCTCCTTTGGGAAAAACTTTTAATGGTGAGTGATAATATGAAAATCACTTTCTACTTGGAAAGAAGTATGCTGGTTTTTCTTTCCATTTTTTTCCCTTGGCTTACTACTTAAATAATTAAGCGTATTTATTAAGATGTTAATAAACCAAATTTTGTTTTTGTGACACTAAAGTTTATCAGTGGGAATTTGCCATTTTAAATTGTTTTGTATGTCGTAGGGTGGTACAGATAGCATTTGCTAATATATTCTTTAATGGCATTAAAAGTATCAGCGACATGAAGGGCCAGCCCAGTGGGGTAGTGGATAAGTTCTCGTGCTCCGCTTCAGTGGCCCAGAGTTCACAGGTTCATATCCTGGGCGTGGACCTGTGTACAGCTTATTAAGCTGGGCTTTGTCAGGCGTCCCACGTATAAAGTAGAGGAAGATGGGCACAGTGTTAGCCCAAGGCCAATCTTTCTCAGCAAAAAGAGGAGGATTGGCAACAGCTCAGGGCTAATCTTCCTCACCAAAAAAAAAAAAGTATAAGCCACATGAGACCCCTCTGAAAACCACTCTTTCACAACCTGATTTCTAAAGCTATGAAGTTAAAGAATTATCAAATATTTCTTAAAATTCTTAATTGCCAAAAACTAGAGTCACTAAGGGACATTTCAGAAACAATGAAAATTTCATTGTTGGGGCAGGGATGAGCTAATAGTGGTACAGTAGGTATTTTCCTTTACAGTCATTTGTGTATTTAGAACTCCAAAGTGTAAATTTCCCTGCCTGCCTCAAAATAGATTTATTTTTTATATATGGTTTAAAGATTAAGAGATGCCATAAATGCAAAAACAGAGAAGTTAAGTAACTTAACCAGGGTCACACAGCTAGTAAGTGGCAGAGCCAGAATTCTAAATCCAACAGTCTGGCTCCGTAGTCCATGCTTATAACTGCTATGTTATACTATCTCCTTGAACAAAATGGTGATGCATTTAATGAAGCAAAAATTAAGATGAAGGATTCACCTGTCAATACTATTTGTGTTTGTTTTTTTGTTTTTTTGTGAGGAAGATCAGCCCTGAGCTAACATCCATGCCAATCCTCCTCTTTTTGCTGAGGAAGACCGGCCCTGAGCTAACATCTGTTTGCCAGTCCTCCTTTTTTTCCCCCTTTTTCTCCCCTACTCCGCAGTAGATAGTTGTATGTCATAGTTGCACATCCTTCTAGTTGCTGTATGTGGAATGCGGCCTCAGCTTGGCCGGGCAAGCGGTGCGTTGGTGCGCGCCCGGGATCTGAACCCGGGCCGCCAGTAGCAGAGCGCGCGCACTTAGCCGCTAAGCCACAGGGCCAGCCTCTGTCAATACTATTTGAATATTAAATCTCTGACACCAAACCTCTGAGGGGAGCAGCCAGTATTAATCCACATTTCTTGGCCTCTTAGGAGCCTTGATACCTTGTCATATGAAAAGCTCAAAAGACCTGAGTGCGAGAGAACATCCTAGAGATACACTTACTTTTCGTTGTATATGATAGTCCATTCATGCCAGGTTGTTTGTGTCCTTTCTGCACTAAAGCAGAAGTAGAGAAGCATAACTACCTAAATTCTTCAAAGCCACTTGTAGTACAAGCATAGCAGCCTCATGGTGGCCAGCCCTCACAGGTTCCTGCCTGACCACAGACAAAACCACAGGTGGACACTTGTCTAGTCTTATTTTCTAAAGTAGGCTCGTGGGAGTCTGAGGAAAAGCAAAAGAAAACAGGAAAGTGTAGGGTGATAGACAAAACAACTTTTCTAATATGCTCTATGCCTCTTAATGGCCTATTTCAGGTGTGAACTCTTCAGCCTTTCATCTAGCACCATCCTAACTCTCCATATGACTTTGCGTTTCCAATCGCCTGGTCCAGTAATGTCCTTCTCATTCTCATTCATTCGCCATGCTCACTCTCTTGCAGGTCTTTCTTTGATCATAATCTGCCACTTTCCCCAAATGGTTCTCCCTCTATCCTGCCTTTCTCTCACAATAAATATCCCTCCAGTTTCATCTCTACCATGTAGTATTCCTCAGGTCCTCCAGCCCACATTAATCTTTGTATCTGTTTCTACAGAATTTATAAAGATAATATCATACAGTTTAGCCTTTAACTATTTTAGAATTGTTGCATGTGTGTTATTGTTTTAAATTTCATGCCAGCTAAATCTGAAGGCAATTGTAGGACTGTTGTGTCACTTCACAGCAGTTAACACAATGTGGGCATTTAATAAAATGTCATCGTTGCCACAGGGGTGAAAGTCCTGAACACAAGTCTGGCATTGAGTGTTAAACCTGAAAAAAAAATTAAGAAGTGAGGAAAAATATAAGCAATTTAGTAACTTTTTACAGCTGCTTTTAATCCATTTGTTTATTGAACAAATATTTATCAAATATCTATTATATGCCAGGCCCCAGGAATACAAAGATGACTGTTGACTTGATCCCTACCTCCAAAGCACATATTCTAGTCTGTTAGAGAGATCCTGGCAAAGGGCACAGAACATACTGAGACAGGGAAGTGTGAGTAGTTCTGTGAAAATGTCAGCCTTGTGTAAGTGATTTGTACTGTACGATGTGTTTAAAGCTAAATAAATGGAGGCGCTGATTTTATTACAATAGTAAATGTCATCTCGCTTTTCGAAGCATAGAGTGAGGTGAAGTAGACATTCTCTAAAGACCTATCAAGGAATTAAATCAATGATTCTACTTATTACTGAGTGGAATGATGCTATAATGTAATGATTTGTGAAACCAAATGTGTTTGTGTCTCTGTATATTCCATATACATATTTGATAACTATTAAATGAAATTCAAGATTTTGCTATAGCAATAATAATGACTAACATTGAATACGTTATCTGCCAGGTACCAAGCTGAACAATCTATATGCTTCTCAGTTAGTCCTAGAAACCCCTATGAGATAGATACCCCATTTGAGAAATAAACTAAGATTAAGTCACTTACCCAAAACCACACAGCTAGTTAAATGGTAGAGGTGGTACTAGAACTCATCTACCAGGATGTGAACTTTTCAGCAGCAATTTGATTGCTTAATAGTCTACTTTTCTGTCATGGGGGTGGGGCAGCTGTGCAGGAAAGGTGACAGAAGTGAACATTCCTGCTGGTTCTGTGCCCTTCTGTATCTACTCATCAAGGGAAAGATTTTTTTCTCCTAAAGTTCTGTGGTTTATTTTTTTTAATTATTTATTTCTTTATTAAGAAGATTTTTTTTCAGGCCAGCCCCGGTTGCCTAGTGGTGAAGTTCAGCATGCTCAGCTTTAGCGGCCCAGGTTCGGTTCCTGGGTGTGGACCTCCACCACTTGTCTGTCTATGGCCATGCTGTAGCAGCAGCTCACATATAAAAAGAGTAGGATTGGCAACAGATTGTAGCACGGGGTGAATCTTCCTCAGCAAAAAAAAAAAACACCAATTTTTTTCCACTAAAGTAAGTTTGAGAAAACTTTGAAAATGATACAGAAGAAAATCCAAGTTACACCATATTACCATTTGAGTATACTCAAGTTATCTGTATGTGTACACATGTACTCTTAGTGCATTAAGATCTGTAATATGAACTGTGATGTAAAATGCTGGTTTTCAGTTAACATACAATGAAAGGATGTATTTTTGTTTTCATATTAATGAATGTTCCAGGTAATAAATGTTTCTGATAGAAAATCTGGAAATCATGGAAGCAAACAAAAAAAATTTAGAATATGTTCATTATAAATTTTTGTAAGACATTCTGGAGTAAAAATTAAAAATCCTCCTTCATATTTAAATACCCACCACTACTCTTAAATATTAATTATTTATTTCTTTATTAAGAACAGTTTCTTTCATGCCAGCCCCGGTGACCTAGTGGTTAAGTTCGGTGCGCTCTGCTTTGGTGGCCCACGTTCAGTTCCCAGGCGCGGACCTACACCACTCGTCTGTCAGTGGCCGTGCTGTGGCAGCAGCTCACATACAAAAAGAGTAGGATTGGCGACAGGTGTTAGCTCAGGACTAACTCTCACTTAAATCTCTGTTTCCACTCATAAGTAGTTAATTATATTCTGAGCAAGTAGAAACCTGAATGAGGAGACCTAGAAGTTAGCTTTGTGGAGATGTTCATAGAGTGGACCTAATTGGGCAGAAGAAAGAAGCACAGCTAGGCAGGCAAAACACAGGTGCTACAGAGGGCACAACATAATGACCAGAAATAAGTGGTCATTGGGCAGGAAGTAGGCATCTAGTTAACAAGTGGTGTGATGTGCTGGAGCAGGCACCAGTGGAGGTAGAAAGGTGGATAGTCACCATTAACAGGCACAGATGGTGGCAGTGAGACCTAGCTTCTAGGTTACGTTTTGGTAGTTGTACATTATCAAGGCTGGAATGAAGGAACATGTCAGGAACTGTGAAACTGGAACATAAAATTTGGAAAGATGGCCTTTAGATGACAAAGATAAAGGCAACTGAATTTCTTGAGTAGGATTATAAGATTAGAAAGGAACTACTACAAGGTTGACTTAATTTTAATGAGCTTTTAAACTCATCAGATAAAGAAATGAATAAAATAGTAATCTCTCTCTTAAGTAGTTTACAGTCTGTTGAGGGGGACAAACAGACGTAACATAAATTGTCTATTAAGTTAGAAGATAAATGCTGTGGGTAGGAGAACAGGAAACAGGAGAGAGGATGGGGGACAGGTTTATAATTTTAAACAGAGTAAGCCTAGTTGAGAAGGTAACATTTGAGGGAAGGCTTGAAGGGAGTGAGGGAGTGAACCCAAAGGACATGCTTATTTGGAGGAAGAGCATTCCAGGCAAAAGGAACAGCCAGTATAAAAGCTCTGACGTAGGAATGTAAACAAACAGAAAAACCCTGCTAAGTAGAGGGAAGAACAGTGTATTGAGAGAAGTTAGGGAAACAAGGAATACATAGTGTTGTTTTGCCGAATATATTGTACAGTTTTCAATTTGATACTGTGTTGTTTTTAGAGTCCTGAGTCTCACCTTGGCATATTCAATTATTCATTACTTAACTGAAGATTTTTTAGTGCAGTGGCAGGCTAAATAGTGAAGTACGTGGAGAGAAAAAAATAACATTGAGAAAGACAACTGAAGACATGATTTCATCAGTCAAATCATGAGCACATTTTTCCTCTGTTAACATTTCTTAAATTGTTATATTTAATTTCTTCTTTCTATGTCTGCTCTTGAATTTGAGAGATAACATTAAATAAAGCAGAGCCTTGATTTATTCTTAATGAACCTGGAGAAAAGCTTCATAAGGATAATTTCAAACCTATAATCTCTTATATCAAAATTACATAGTTAAAAAATGAAAATTAGGTTGACACCTTTTATATAATCAAATTGACTGCACAGTTTTGTGATTAGAGGTGGGGCTGACTATTTTTTCATGGGCTTACTAGTTGTAATTTCTCTGGTGGATTGCCAATGTATGTCTTCATTTGCTTCATTATATTTTTGCTTTTTACTCTGTATCTGTGTAATTGGTAGGGAATGTAATGTCATACCTTTTTTTCCAAAGGCTCTTAAAGAAGCAGTTTTTTCACCGGGCACTGAAAGTAATGAAAATGAAGTATGATAAAGACATAAAAAAAGAAAAAGAAAAAGGAAAAGCTGAAAGTGGAAAAGAAGAAGATAAAAAGAGCAAGAAAGAAAATCTAAAGGATGAAAAGACGAAAAAGGAAAAAGAAAAAAAAAAAGACGGCGAAAAGGAAGAATCCAAAAAGGTGATTTCAACTAAAATTAAGTAAAAATCAAAAATCATTATGTGCACATGATCACTACTGACATATGAGCACTTTTGAAATATTATGCAACAGCCACTTAAGATAACCATATTAGAGTTTTTATAAATACCATAGTTGAGAATTTTGATTTCTCTGTCTCAAATAGTGAAAGTTTTTTGACTATATGAATGTCTTACTGCTTTTTGCTTGTTGTGTTTTTTTCTTGTATTCAACTTGGATTTTGATAGGAGGAAACTCCAGGAACTCCCAAAAAGAAGGAAACTAAGAAAAAATTCAAGCTTGAGCCACATGATGATCAAGTTTTTCTGGATGGAAATGAGGTGAGAGTATCTGGCTTATAAGTAGAAATCCAGTTTTCCATAGGAATTTTCAGAATTATCTTTGATGCCTTTTTCACGAAGAAAAGAAGTAATATAGATAAATCTAACTATGTAGATATAAAATCGACTCTTTTTAAAAGTCAGTAATTTCTCTGAATTTAGATTTATAAACAATTTATAAAAGACCAGTCAGAATTAGGTTCAGCTGTCTGTGAGTGATAGGAAACCTGAAATAACAATGGCTTAAAACAGAATAGATACTTGTTTCCCTCTCGTCAATGAAATCTGAGGGTAAGCAGTACAGATATAGCAGCTCCATGGTGGATCCAAGCTCTTCCTCCTGTGTGAGGCAATTAGTAAATGTTACCTCATGGTCCAAAATGACTACCGGCCTTATATCTGCATCCAAAGGAGGAAAGGAGAATGAGGAACAGGCCTCCTCTTTAAGGACACCTTGGAAGTTGGCAGTTTCATTTTTGCTTGGATTCCATTGGCCAGAACCTTGTCACATGGTCATGTCTACCTGTAATAAAGTCTTAGAAATGTGCTTGTTACACTGCGTTGTCATTTGCCCAACCAAAATGCAGGATTTCCATTACTATCAAAGAAAGAAGAGCAGAATGCTTAATGAGGGACACCTACTGGTTTCTGCCTCTTATAGTCAGACACCCTATTTTAGGGGCCTAAAACTTTTACCAGTGCATGATGCATTACTTAAGGAAATCATTTTTATTTCTTTTTTTTTGTGTGTGAGGAAGATCAGCCCTGAGATAACATTTGCCAATCCTCCTCTTTTTTTTTGCTGAGGAGGACTGGCCCTGGGCTAACATCCATGCCCATCTTCCTCCACTTTATATGGGACGCCGCCACAGCATAGCTTGAAAAGCGGTGCCTCAGTGCGCGCCCGGGATCCAAACTGGTGAACCCTGGGCTGCCGCAGCGGAGCGCGCGCACCTAACCGCTTGCGCAACTAGGCCGGCCCCTCATTTTTATTTCTTTTGTAACGGGAGATTTGTGTGGTGGTAGCCTTCCATTGAAGACTTTAATTTAGTCTTTTAACTGATAGCAAAACATTATTTATATACTGGCTATTGAATTGTTGTGAATTTCAAGACATATATCTTCTTGCTATGCCTAATACAAAAGTAGTGTATATAAAGTAGTGGTTCCTAGAGCTATGAGTTTGAAATTTTGGGAAAGCTTTTCAGAAAGCATGTGCTCTAGGCTCATTCCAGACAGACTTGTGTGAGACGCTGTAGGGTGGAATCTAGGGGATGTGTTTGTGTGTGTGTTTTGTATAACATGTCTCAGGGTGATTCTGTTGTGAACCTCTGGTTAAGAACCACTGTAATAGAGGACCACAGGTCTTTCCTAACATGGAGACCAAATACCTTCAATTAAACATCAAGCATTGGCTATATGCCAAGACATTTTTATATAGGTGCTGGGAATAGCATGATAAATAAGATAAAATTCTCTTCTTGGAAGCTCTTATAGTCTAGCAAAGATACGAGCTTTTAAACATGTTACATTATTACTGTGTGGTAAGTGTTATGATGGGAGAACACCAATTAGGAATAGTTAATTTAATCAAGAGAGGATAAGGAGAGTCTGGAGACCTTGAACACTTGAGCTGAGTCTTGAAGGATGACTGGCAGATTACCAGGTGCACTGGGAAGGAGTTATAGGTCTATTAGGTGAAGAAAGCAGCCTGAGCAAAAGTGTGGGTGCTTGCATTCCTGAAAAGACTATATTTTATTCTGTAGAAAGCAGCATGCCTTCAGACTTTTAAAGGTGGGAAATGTCTTTAAAAACTTGTCTTTTTAGAATGCTAACTGGCAGGAGTGATGTCTCTGGATCTGATTTCCAGGGGAAATGTGCAGAGCTAAAAAAGAGGGATGAAACCCCCAGTGTTAGAAATAGAACCAAATCAAAAAGACAGCAACAAAGAGTTCTGGTCAAAACAGAACCAGGAAATGGAAGAGTAGTACTGTTATTTATAGAAACTAAGAGATGAAATTAGGAGTTTTACGGATGATGATTGAGCAGGGTTTTGATTGTTCTGAATGAAGTAAATGTCTGTTGTATAAAGTAAATTAAGCTTTAAAGCAGTGATTCCCAGCTTATGGGCTACAGACCTTCCATGGGAGAGTAGGCAATGAAATTATTGCAGGGAGTCATAGTATCTTTATGTTCACTAATCATGATCTTTAATAATGGTTCTTTGCATCTCTTGACTGGGAGAGAACAGAATGCACTTGAGAGCTGCTGAATCTAGAAGGGCCTGGCTGGAATCTCTCTTAACTGTGCTCTTAACCCAGACTGGTTCTGCTCATGCCAGTGTACATTATTATATTAGGGACGAAAAGGTTGTACAATTGCTGGTTTTTAGGTTGAATAAGTAATGGTTTGCACACATGAACAAATTGTTAAATGCTTGTAAATACATAGAACTTTACTTAACTACATTACAGAATTTATAGTTTTTAAAATTATTTTCTAACTGAATGGATACCAAAAGAAACACTGCTAGTGAAGAAAGGTCTTTGGAATTTGTTTACCTTAGAAAGTAGTTCTTATATGTTAGGAAGTTGGAAGTGACTGTTGTAGAGGATCTAAAATATAGAATTAAGCTTAACTTTCTAATGTGACCTTAGAACTTTAAGCACTGGGGTTTCTTGGTTCTTCTAGGTATTTGTGTGGATCTATGACCCAGTTCACTTTAAAACATTTGTCATGGGATTAATTCTTGGTAAGTACAATCTCTAAAATTTAGAAAGGAAAATAAAAATGAAGAAGCCATAAAGAAAAATATTTAACATAAAATAATTACTTTAAAAAGGTGTACGTTATTTAAAGTCAGAAGATAATATGATAAACTGAGGGAAATATTTGCAGCACATTAAAGCCGAGATCTTTAAGAGATTTATCAGTCTGGTAGAAAAATAGTAAAGGTAGCTCACAGATAAAGAAATGGAGTGATCTGTAATCATAAATGATACTTCATCACACTCATAATAAATACAAATTAAAGCAACAATGATTAAGAGGATTACAAAGTTTGATAGTACTTAATCTTAGTAAAAGTCCAACACTTAGGAAAAACACTCTCCAAGAATTGATGGTATTTTCATTGTTTTAGTGTTTTGGGTTTTTTTGTGTTTTTTTTGTTTTGGTGAGGAAGATTGGCCCTGAGCTAACATCCATGCCCATCCTCCTCTATTTTGTATGTGGGATGACGCTGTAGCGGTGTATATGTTCGCACTCAGGATTCTAATCTGCAAACCCCGGGCCACTGAAGCAGAGTGCGCAAACCCAACCACTACGCCACGGGGCAGGCCCCTCGTTTTAGATTTTATGGAGGGCAGTTTGGCAATATCTTTCAAATTTTAAATATGTATACACTGACCCAGCTATTCTACTTCTAGGAATTTATCCCAATGCT